AAAAGAAGGTGGTTATTATGGACGAGTTGCCCGGAAAAAGCCATATGTAAATGAAAATAACCGAAAGAAAAGATTAAATTTTGCTAATCAGTTTATTTCAAAAGATGATACATGGTGGAATGACGTCATCTTTAGCGATGAAAGTACATTTAACATCTTTGGCTCTGATGGGCGAAGAATGGTGTGGCGAAAGAAACGTGAAGAATTCAATATTAAAAATACGAAGCCGACCATAAAGCATGGCGGTGGAAATGTACTTGTATGGGGGTGCATTTCAACATTTGGGACTGGAGAATTAGTTTTTATTGACAGCATAATGGATAAGAATGTGTACCTTAATATATTTAGCAAAAAGTGCGACAAAAATGGGGATTCAAAGAACCTTTAAGTACCATCAGGACAACGATCCCAAACACAAAGCACGGATTGTACAAGAATACTTGCTATACAATTGTCCAAAAGTATTACAAACACCTCCGCAATCTCCAGACCTAAATCCCATTGAAAATTTATGGAATGAACTAGATCAAAGAGTTAGGACGATTCCAATAACTTCCAAAGAAATGTTGAAGCAGCGATTGCAAGAAGAATGGAAAAATATAACAACAGAATATTTAAAAAAAAATAATTGGTAACATGCCTCAACGTTTGAAAGAGATCATTCCACAAGGAGGATATCCTACAAAATATTAAATAAATTACTGGTTGTGAAAACGATATAAAAAATTATTAGTTTTCCAAAGTGTTTTGGAATTGTTTTGTTTAAAATATAAATTACAATAAGTGTCGAAATATATAATTAATGTTGCTATTTTTGTTTATTAGACCCGTTTTACCGTGCGATAAGGTAAAAATTTTAGTGGTCGTGCGCGTCTAACGGTAGGCAAGGCGACCACCGTCATTAAGTACCACTGTCGCCGCCGCGTGTTCTGCTGAACTGTTTCGCTTCCCTATTTAAAACAAAACAGATTTTGTAAATTTCTTTGTCACTTTCCCGTGCAGAAAGGTCTACTATTTCCCGTGCTATGGTTAGATTTTGTCCTAGATTTTTAGTTTTTGAAATACACAAATTGGAAAACATCAACAAAAAGTGGTGCGTTTTCGGTGTCCTTCTCACTTTGAACATTATTTAAACATATTTAGATATCTATAATATAATAACAATTTATATCATTTTTTTCGGAAGAGTCCAGAGAATCATTTCGTGTCTGTTCGAGATTCTGTAAAAGTTTCGACGGGGGAGAGGATGACGGTTCCCGTTCCACGGCGCGAGCGGATCGCGTCGTACCGCGTGCTGACGCGTGTCACACCATCTATGCGTAACAAGCCTAATCGGCTAACTGTCGATGGCTGACAAGTGTAATGGATTCGCGCGTGGTGTCGCGCACCGTCTTCCGCTCCCCACCCGCCATGCTTTTGCCGAATCGTGCACACTTTCTTCTTCTCGTACGGGCTATCGAACTGGACGGACGCGTGTCTGCTCCTCGGTCGTGCCGTCGAATAAGCCACGCGTGCTTTAGCTACTCGTTTGTGCTGGCGAGTTGGCCACGCGTGTTCGTTTAACTTCTCGTTTGTGCTGGCGAGCAAGTTATACCACACTTCCTTCTTCTCGTACGGGCTATCGAACTGGACGGACGTGTGTCTCTCCTCCGTCGTGCCGTCGAATAAGCCACGCGTGCTTTAGCCACTCGTTTGTGCTGGCGAGTTGGCCACGCGTGTTCTTTTAACTTCTCGTTTGCGCACAGGCTAGTACTAAGCCTTCACGAGGACACTGTGTTGTTAATCGGACGAACCGTAAAGGTAATAAAGCCCCGTTATGTAAGTGTGTACGAAAATTCAAACCTAACCTTACATCCTCGCTATTCATGACCACGTGTGCTCAATTCCGTTCCAGATCGGCACTTTTGCGAAGCGGGCTGCTACACTCCACCCACTTCTTGTAACGTTTATTTTACTTGGCAGTGTCAACAGAAACTAAATAGCTATTACTGTCAAAGCACAGCACAGCTCCAAAGTTGAAAATATGCAATTTTTTCACAAAATTGTTTTTTTTTCAAAAACTGGACGTGCTGGAAAGAAACGGTTTGTAGATTCGTATTCAGCTCATAAAGATCTATCAGAAAAGCTTGATGAAAATTTCAAAAATTTTTACGTTTGAACAGTGTTATCAATTTTCTGAAGTGTCCGAATATTAAAGTAACGTAAAATCAGACATTGTTTTGTTTAAAACAGAAAATATAATAAGTGTTACGAACTACATACATAATTAATGTAGTTATTTTTGTAAACTAGACCCTTTGTAATAATATAATTTATAAGTCACTAATTTCCATCCTTATCACGAATAAAGTTACAGTGCGACAAAGTGAAAGTTTTAAAGTGTCCGAATATTAAAGTAACTCACTGTATATAAAGTGGACGCTCGGAATAGATAGACGAACACCGGGTTACATAGTACTAGAGGAAACGAAAAAAGCGAAGTTAAAAGTGATAACAGGACAGAGAGCTTGGAAGTTTGAGGAGGAAGTGAGGAAAAGAGGTGGGAGAAAAATTGTTAGAGAATGTTTAGAAGAGAAAGAAAGAGGGGAAGAGCAAACAGGAAGTGGGAAAGAAAGGGAAGACTATTTAAAAAAGAATGGATTGAGTCAAGCTGGAGTGGATGTACTGAGGAGAGAAGGAATGGAAGTTGAGAAGAAACTCGGGAGGAGAGGCCTAGAGATACAGCAACAGGAACAGGATGGGAAAATAGAGAAAACAAAGTACAACCAAAGATACAAATTTATGAGAACAATAGGGTGTTACGTTGCCCGCGATTTCGGTCGGTCGCGTGGCCGGCACACGGCACGAACAAAGTGCTTTCCCCCCGGTCTCCGCGTACGTTCGCGTCCCCGCGAATCCCGCCGACCGTTTTTCCGGGCGCCAGGTACGTTTTCCCGTACCGACCGATACTCCCCGAGTATCGGACCGAAACCTGCCCCTACCGAGGGGTTGAACTCTACCGAACGACCGAGGAGAAAGCACCCTCCACCGGATGGTCACAAGACGAGGGTTTCCAGGGTTCGCAAATACCGGAACGATAGACTTCCCTCGCGACAAGGATTCCCGTCGGACGACACAGACACGAAAAATCAACGTTCAGAAGGAGTTAACAAAGCAAATAACAATTTATTTCCGTTTTCTTTCGCCGGCCTCTGACGAGACCGCGTTACAACAGGTGTTGGTGGTGTAGCGACGGAAAGAAAAACAATTCAGCGGTCGACTATCGTCGCGGCCCGCGCCTTCGGTATCACCGGATTCCGGTACGAGACTCTACTCTTCGTCGGGCGGTACTACGATACCGCCGATAACATAATGAGGTACAATGACTTGAGCGGCAGTCGCGTAGCTTCTGCGTCCTGGAGGAAAGCTGCCCGGAATTTTCGATATTACTATTCCCGAGGAACCGCCGTGGCTGTCCCGCGTGCGCTAGCGAGATACGATATTAATCCCCCGATCGCGACATAATCGGGCAAACGAGATCTAGATTGCCGTACGAGAACAGAAGAGAGAGCTCACTTACAGTGGTCGATAATCCTCCTCTCGATCTCGCTTCCTGCCGGGTCTCGGTACACGCGCGATACGGTATTACGACTTAACTCGCTAAGACGGGCCACTCAAGTGACGATTTCGGGGCTCGTTACGCGGCGCGAGGATCTAGCGGGCCCCCCACTAAGCAGTCCTATTGCCCCTCGTACCCCCCCCGTGACTCCTGTGGAGCCATGCTCCTTCGGCCTAGGGACGACACGCCAAGGAAGGATCCCCTGGCCACGGAGATCGCTTCCCTTGTGTGAGGAGCCCAGTCTGACATCCTCCTACGTGGTTGCTGCGACTCCTCACGGGTTTCCTGCCCTCTGACTCCTCCATCGTGGGGTCCTTCTGCGGAGGAAGACGTCCGGGTCGCCGATCCTTATCCGGTGGGTGGTTTCCTGTTGCCCCCTCGGCCGACCAAGCGCCTCTCGAAGCCCAGGCTCGAGACGAGGGCAGGCCCTTTTTCCTCCTGTCCTATCCCCCTGGGATAGGACCCTTATCCGGTCGAGCGGCCGCTCGACGGGATTCCGGGGCGGTCCCTGCAGCAGAGTCGGTGGGTACGGGCGATATTGCGTCTTTGGCCCTGCCTTGACCCCTATCGTGACGGCCCTGCAATCGCGAGCGGTACTCGGCGCGAGATAACCACGTGGTTAGTACAGATTCTAACGGTACTATTCCTCTATAAATCCTCCAGGAGCGCTTTGACCTTATTTCGTGCAGGCAGGGAGCAGCGGAGGGGCGGTCCGGTTCTCGGTTCTTCCGCGCCCGAGTCAAACTTCGGGCGGGAATGGGCACGGCGCAAAATGCGTCGTAACAAGGGTTAGCGGAATATTTAAGTAAGGAAGGAAGAGTTGAAAGCCAGCAGTTAGTAGCACGAGTAAGGTGTGGAAGTACAGAAAGATGGAACAAATATTGGGAAAAGGACGAGGGAAGAAGTTGTGATCTGTGCGGGGACAGATTGTACGAAAATGGAGAGAGGGGTTAGGTTAGAAGACGTGGTAAGTGGAAAAAAGGACGAGAAGATAGAGGAATGGCTTAGGAATTTGAAACAAAGAAAGAGGGAGGAGAAAGACATGTGCAATAGGGCGATAAGAAATAAATAGTAAGAGTTAAGTTAGAGTTTAAGATAGAGAGGAAACGAAAAGAGAGAGTGAACGAGAAGAATAAGTGAGTTAAGTTAGTAATATAAGGGTAGGATAAGTGTAAACCAAGTCCAAATTTCTTGGCTGTGAGGCTGAAATAAAGAACATCTATCTATCTATCTATCAATAAATTAACGTAGGAACAACATATGCCTCTGTGGGATCGGGAACTTCATACCCAACAAAGGAGCAAATAACATCTTGGGAAAATAGGAGGGTTCCGTGGAGTAGTGGGTAGAGTCTCTGCTTTCGGTGCCGGGGGTCGTGAGCTCGAATCCCGCTTGGGCCCTCTCATTTTTCCAACGCCCCTACACCTCTATAACAATAAAGTAACGTAGGATCAACACGATAAATAACAAAACTGTGTAAAGTAAATAATATGATTCTGACAAGTGAACAGTTTTAGTGACTATACAGTGAAATAAACACCGTCAGTGAGTTGACCCGACCGCACTTGTCACTACGTCTTTCGGTGGTGCCGTATATCTGCGATCAGCTGTGGACTAGCTGTCACCTACCATGAACCATTTAGTTTGTCGATGAGCAGGATCGGTACAGTGACCTACTGACACAGTTCTACAAGCTGCAGGTGGATTTCCGAAAGGGTGAGTTCTATTCAATTTATTCTTGATTATTTTCTTTTTAATTTAACGCAACCGATTACTTTTTTACGCCAATAATGCTGCAAGTTTCCGTACGCACATTTTTCTTCGGGTTTCTTAAAGACAATTATTTGTAATCAGTATCACTGTAGCTCGTTGCTGAACTACAGATTTTTATGTCAATAACGAGCTACGATCACTATTACATTAACTTTTCGTTAATACGTTATTTGAGAAGGAAATTTACAATTTAAAATAATTGTGTATTCGTCTTTTTACGTTACACATGATTTTCTTACATTTATGTTTCATTCATTCATCACTTTAAATGACAAACGGAAGATGATAAGAAGTTCGATTTGTTATGTTTTTCTTCTTTCCTAGTATACGCGGTTTCCTGGGATGCATGCCAACGTGCTTGTTCGGAGCGTCATAGTACAAGCGTAGCTACCGCTAGCGCGGGAACTCGGCCGGCAATCTCGCGCTTTGATTGGTTCGGGTTTTTCGTTAATATCTCGTTACCAAAGCCGCAGCTAAAATTTTCGTTAAGGAAAAAGTGGTTTCAAATCACCCCAGCAACCCCTTATTTCCCGGAAGAGAGACACTTTTGAGACACTCTGTATGTATATTCCTCATATTCTGTATACTATTTTGTTCTGTATATTTTGTAAAATTTTTAATACTCTTACGTATGATATTTGTATTCTTTATATGATATTATATATATTTGACGTGTATATATTCTGTGTGTTCTGTGAACTTTGTATAGTCCGTGTATTCAGTTATGTACTAACTACATGTATATTACATACTTCTTGTAAGTGTAGTCTGTATTCATTTCGTGCATAATTAAATCTTATAATAGAAATATATTTTATACATATATGTGCCCGTATAACAAACAAGTAATATTTAAATATTGTATAAATATAGGTCTTCAATATTTGTAAACACACGGTGGATGATGCATTTTACCAAGCATGGTATGTAATAATAATAATAAAAATAAATGTGATCAAATTTTAAATATTGTATAAATATATAGCTCTTCAATCTTTGTAAACACACAGTGGATGATGTATTTTACCAAGCATGGTATGTAATAATAATAATAATAATAATAATAAAAATAAATGTGAATTATCAAAAATGACATACCCTGTAGTGCTCCTTCTAGTTTTTTCATCTCCTCCGTAATCCGAATCACAGTAGGTCATCAGTTCGTTTCTTCCACCCTTTTGATATTCTATTGTCTCAATTTGTTTTCCATTCAGATATCTCAGTATACGTTTTATGGCTGCCACCAGTTTGTTCGTTGGTTTGTCCACTTGTCTACTAGCTTTATTAACTGCAAAGCTTATGTCTGGTTTAGTTTTATTACTCAAATATAGTAAGCTTCCTACAGTTTCTCTTACGGGATATGTAGTTTGTATTCTCTCTTCCTCTATTTCACCTTTTGTTGCAGGTGCAGAAACTGGTTTTGATTCATTCATTTTATATTTTGCCAATATCTTTTTCACGTATTCTGTTTGTTTCAGCTGTAGTTTTCCCTGTGCGCTTCCCATCTCAAAACCAACAAATGTCTTCGGTTTCTCCTCAACTATCATTTTGAATTCCCTTTTTAAGTTCATTTATTATACTTTCTATTTCTTCTTTATTGTTCCCCATTACTAATCCATTATCAACATAGATTGCGATAATCAATTTACTAGTTTCACTCATGCAGATACACTGGTCTGACTTTAAAGCTTTCAGACCTTTTGATCTCAAGAACGCTGAGAATCTTTGATTTCATTTTAATGAAGCCTGCTTTAGCCCGTGTAATGCTTTATTTAGTTTGCAGATCTTGTTTTCATAAAGATATCCTTCTGGGGGAAAAGACATTTATATATATATATACAGGGTGTCCCAAAAATGTCCTCCGACCCGGAAATGTGGCACTCGGGGGGTGAATTGGAACAACTTTTTCCTTAGCAAAAATTTAAACTGAGGCTTTGTTAAGGAGATATTAACGAAAAACCGCGACCAATCAGAGCGCGAGTTTGCCAGCCGAGTTCCCGCGCTAGCGGTGGCTACGCGCTACGCTTGTACTACGAAACTCCGAACAAGTAGGTCACCATGCATCGCAGGAAACTGCGCATAATAATAGCAAATAAACAAGACGTAACAAATAAAATCATACTTTTTATCATCTGTCGTTTGTTATTTAAAGAGATTAGTGAATGAAACGTAAATGCAGGCAAATTATGTGTAACGTAAAAAGACGAATGCACATTTACATTTTTGTAAATTCCTTTGTACGAATTTGTAAATTTCCTTTTCAAATAACGTGTAAACGAAAAGGTAATGTAAGAAAGAATAAACGAGAAGTGATTGTAGTTCGGTGAAATTAATAAAACAATAATGACCAATAAACTGAATAGAACTCACCCTTACGGAAATTCACCTGCAGCGTAGAAACCTGCGTCAGTAGGTCAGTGTACCGAGCCTGGGCATCGACGGACGAAATGGTTTATGGCAGGGTAGAGTCCATGCCACTGGTGATCGCAGGTATGCGACACCAGCCGACGTTAAGAGTTGCAACGTCAAGTGCCGCCGGGTTAATCCATCGAATATGTATTCACTTCACTGCACTGCACTAACACTGATCACCCGACACAATCACTTAATGTATTTTTAATCCAACGTGTTGTTACTACGTTAGGAAAATTCGTGGTCTCGGAAAGGGCCGATTGTTTTCAATTTTTCAGATGTTTTACGTAACCAAACACTTGCACAGCAACACCCGCATATCCGTTATTGTGTACGTACCACCATAACATTGCGAAATACTCCCGTGAACTGAACATCTCTGTCGCCCGATGGCTAACCGACTGACAGAATTTTTCCTCTACCCCCAAGTAGTTTCCCATCGTTACATTGTGAGTTCACTCCCACCATGACCAGATTTAGGTAGAAAGAAACCAACGGTTCTAGGATAACACGTGCTTTGCAGAAGTAGAAGGAAAGGACCGTCGCGCAGTTTCTCCAAGGCGCCGTAGCCCGTTAATTTATTGCCAGGGTACCTACTTCTTCGAGATAGAAAACAGACATCACGTGCATCGGCTTAAAAATGCCCGAAATGAAGAGGACCATCAACGTATCCCTTGCTTCGAGTTGGAAAGTACAATGTACATTGTTTATCTCGAGGAGCAGGGAAAAAAATTTACCGACACGTGTCAGTTGACGCTGCAAGGCCCTGGACGACCACCCTTGTAGAGGCCGGAGTGGAATTTTCGGTTATTTATGGCTTAAAATCTTCGGCCTCGTAGCAATCGTAAACTCACAACAGAAGTGACAATTTACAATTTTATTACAACTTTGTGAAATTGTAGTTCTCATGAAAACATTTCATACGTATTTTTTTTTTTAGTATTCCGTCAAATATCTCGGAAATTATTAGAAATATAAAAACCGTATTCGTTAAATTCTTTTCCGTAAAATAAGCCTATCGGTAGGGTGATGCGGTTCATATTAACGTAATAGTAACCCATTGAAGACAGCGGTGCGCCCCGGTTCAGGTAAAAGAATCGGGCGCTCCACTATTACAGTCGACTGATGGTATCGCTAACGCTCCAGACTATGTCAATAGAAGACTATATCAAAGTGTCAATGATTTACGGAAAAGAGTTCAACGAATACGGTAGTATTTTTTTTGGATGTACCTGCAGCGCACACTGTCAGGAGTCGGCGAAAGATTGTTTAAAGATAGGGATTTGTTCGGGATTCTGTAGAAGTTTCGACGGGAGAGAGGATGACGGTTCCCGTTCCACGGCGCGAGCGGATCGCGTCGTAGCGCGTGCTGGCGCGTGTCACACCATCTATGCGCAACAAGCCTAATCGGCTAACTGTCGATGGCTGACAGGTGTAATGGATTCGCGCGTGGGGTTGCGCACCGTCTTCCGCTCCACAACCGCCATGCATTTGCCGAATTGTGCGAACTTCCTTCTTCTCGTACGGGCTATCGAACTAGACGGACGCGTGTCTGCTCCTCGGTCGTGCCGTCGAATAAGCCACGCGTGTGTTAGCTATTCGTTTGTGCTGGCGAGCTAACCACGTCTGTTCGGTTTGCTTGTCGTTTGTGCTGGCGAGCAAGTAGTAACCCGTTTTCTGTTCTTCTCGCGGTGTTGGCGAGCAAGCCACACGTGTATCGTGTCTTTCCCGTTTGTGCTGGCGCAAAAGTAACACATGTGCGCGCGCCGCGTATTTTGTTATAAACTCCATAGGCTAGTACTAAGCCTTCGCGAGGACACCGTATTGTTAATCGGACGAACCGTAAAGGGAAATAAAGCCACCGTTATGTAAGTGTGTAAAAAGTGCAAACCTAACCTTACATCCTCGCTATTCATGACCACGTGTGCTCAATTCCGTTCCCAATCGGCACTTTTGCGAAGTGGGCTGCTGGAGGATATCCTCATCGAACAACGGCTGGCTATCTGCACCTTAAGTCGGGTCATGGTCAACTTCAAGAAGATTGGCCAGGCCAAGCACAACGCCGCTACCGCCGCTGCACGACTTCGCCTTCTGCAGGAGAAGTAGAACCAGTGCGAGAAACCCCACACTCGCCTCCATCAAACGGCTTCCAAGGAGCAGCTGGCGCATGAGCCCTACTTTACCGCAGCAGAGTTCAACGTCGCCGAAGAACTCTTCTACGAGGCATACGACTACTTTAACCGTCTGATAGAAAGTTTTAATGTTGCGTCTGGCCTATCGGCGCTGCCGACTTTATCGGACGGGTCGCGAACGTTGGCAGTCGCTCCTGCGTCAATTAAAATACCGCGCATCCAGTTACCGAAGTTTTCGGGTCGGTATACGGATTGGTTGGGGTTTAAGGACCTTTACGAATTGTTGATTCATTCGAATACCGAATTAACGGATGTACAACGACTTCAGTATTTAAAGTCGACCTTAGAGGGCGAGGCCAACCAACTTATTCAACACGTACCGGTTGCCGCGGCCAACTATTCGTCGGCGTGGCAATTATTAGTCGAACGCTACGATAACAAGCGCGCGTTGATCCAGACTCACCTCTCGACATTTTTTTTTTTTTTTTTTTTTTTTTTTTTTTTT